AAAATGTAAATACTGATTTGGTCTTTAAGATGTGTTAAACTGTGAGGCTATTTAACTAATAGTGTGGATGTGATTTGTCATCCAGTATTAAGTTCTTAGTCATTGATTTTGTGTTTTTAAAAAAAAAATAGGAAAGAGGGAAACTGCAGCTTTCATTACAGACTCCTTGATTGGTAAGTTCTCCAAATGCTGAGTTACAGTAAACTCTGATCATGCCTCTGGATAGTGGATCTCGAGCATTTCTCTCGGGCTTTAATTTGCTAAAGCTGTGCACATATGTAAAAAAAACAAAAAACAACAAAAAAAAACATAGATTATTTTAGGGGAGATGTAGGTGTAGAATTATTGCTTATGTCATTTCTTAAGCAGTCATGCTCTTAATGCTTAAAAGAAGGCTAGCATTGTTTGCACAAAAAGTTGGTGATACCCTCCCCCAAATAGTAATGAAATTACTTCTGTTGAGTAAACTTTTTATGTCATCTTATAATAAAAGCTGAAAAAATCCCTTTGTTTCTATTTATAAAAAAATGCTTTTCTATATGTACCCTTGGTAAGAGATTTTGAAGAAATCATGTAAGATGATAAAGCATTTGAATGGTACAATAGATGTAAAAAAAATCAGTTTAAAAGAATGTTTGTTTTTACATTAAATGTTTATTTGAAATCAAATGATTTTGTACATAAAGTTCAATAATATAAAAGTTTTATTGATTTTGTTTTTATTATTGTACATTATCAGAACAAGTACTAAAATTTCGGCTTTTCTAGAATAGTAAGTATCCAGAAAATATATACCCATCTATTAGCACTAATAAGAAATTAAGAAAAACTCAATGTGAAATCCTGCTTAAATGTCTAGTAATACCCAGGCCAGAGAGATAGTACAGCAGGTAGGGGGGGCGTTGCTGCATGCAGTCTACTCCTCAGCATCCCATATTCCTGGAGCACCGCCAGGAATAATTCCTGAGTGCAGACAGAGCCAGGAGTAGCCCCTGAGCATCTTCGGGTGTGACCCAAAGGGGGGGGATATAAAAGGAAAAAATTTCTAGTAATACCAATTATAACTAGTTATATAATAGTTGACATTGGCAACTATCACCTGATCTGCCTATTGTCTGTCATCTACAAGCTGTTTACTCGAGTTATCCTTAAGAAGATTGGCAGAACCCTAGATGAAGGACAACCATGCGAGCAAGCCGGTTTCCAAAAAGTGTTCAGCACAATCGACCATATCCACACGATAACCAAGCTCATTGAGGTTTCTCGGGATTTCAAGATGCCGCTCTGTCTAACGTTCATTGATTTAAAGAAGGCCTTTGATTCTGTTGAGACAGAAGCAGTCATTGAAGCCCTAGCCAATCAGGGCATTCAAACGCAATACATCAGGATCCTCCATGAGCTGTATTACAGATTCACTACCAAGATATCACCATTCTACAAGGAAGTGATCATCGATGTCAAGAGAAGGGGTTCGGCAGGGTGATACCATTTCACCGAAACTCTTTAGTGCCACCCTCGAGAACATCATGCAACAACTGGAATGGGAAGGAATGGAAATGAAGATAGACGGTTGGCAACTACACTACCTCTGCTTTGCTGATGATATCGTTCTAATAACATCAAACATTAGCCAAGCGGCACAAATACTGGCTGACTTCGTGAGTGTGGAAAGGTCGGACTATAGCTGAATCTCACAAAGATAATGTTTATAAGAAACGGTCTCGTTCCTCATGTTCCATTCCCTCTCAAAGGGACAAACGTCTCCGAATGCAACAGTTATGTATACCTAGGTCGAGAAGTCAACATGACAAATGACCTGGTTTCTGAGTTGCGCAAGAGGAAGAGAACAGCTTGGAACACCTTCAAGAGCATCAAAGAAATAACTAAGAGGACGAAGAACCTCTGGCTCCGGGCACATCTCTTCAATTCCACCATTCTTGCTGCATTAACATATGCCTCAGAGACCTGAGCCCTATGAAAACAGGATGAAAACACTACTCGGGTCTTCCAAAGAGGAATCGAAAGAGCTATGCTTGGAGTATCACGTTTCACTCAAATGAGAGAAAGAATCTGGAGTTCCGACCTCCATCGACGGTCAAAAATCAGGGACGCTGTCTCGTTTGCCAAGGCATCAAAAATCAGATGGGCTGGACATGTAATGAGATTTGGAGACGACCACTGGACTAGAGCTGTTACAGACTGGATTCCACAGGACATCAAAGACCGCATGGCCACCCACCTACCAGATGGCCAAACTTCGTCAAGACCTTGAACGATCGGTTTGAGTGTCTTCATGTTCCTAGAACGAACAGATGCCATTGGGCTACACTAGCATGCGACAGGGACAAATGGAGATGTTACTGGCGCCTGCTCGAGCAAATCGATGAGTAAGGGGAAGTCAAGTGATCAACTAGTTGTATACAAAAGAGGGAAGTGATAGTGGAGTTGGTAGGGCACTCGCCAGCTTGAACCACATAGGGTTTCCCACCAGGGGTGATTCCTCCTTGCAGAACTTTGAGTGAGCCCTATTTAAAAGAATAGTCTTTTAAATAGATTAAATTTAGAGTTACCAAAAATCACCACAGGGGAACTGGGGAGATTTTGTTAAAAGGACTGGATCACATGCCCAGAAAGCAGATCCCTGACACCACATGGACCCCTGAGCCAGCACTGCTGAGCTGACCCAAAATCCATCCAAAGAAAAGAATGCTATGGGCACCAATGATTGATACTTTACAACAATTACTCCCAAATCTGCCTTTGGGTCAAACACCTGGCTGCATGCGATCAGGGCTTATTCCTGACTCTGCTCAGGAATCATTGGTGGCCTTGGGAACAAATGGGGTCCTGGGGATAGAACATAGTCAACTGCAGGCAAGGCAGCTGTACCTGGTGTATTATTTCACCAACCCAAATAATTTTATTTTTTGAAAAAAGCCTGGGTCAGAGAAACAGTACAGCCAATGTGTAGAGCACTTAACCTTGCATACAGCCCACCAGGTTTAATTTCTGGTACCACACATAACGTCCCCCAAACACAGCTGGGTGGCCCAAAATCCAAAAAGAAAGGCTTGTGTGCTACTGATAACAAGTCAAATTTTTGCTGTTTTAGCATTTTTCGCAGGAAATTCTAATGCACAGTCAACATTGAGAAGTCCTGTTATTACAGAGAGGGTAGAGAATTTTTCCTATTCCTCTGCAAATTAACTAAAAGCCATGGAAACTGAAACAGAAGGGGGGTGGAAGAGGGTCGACTGGTAGGAACCCAAGAAGGGACAGGAGTTGGGGGTTCTTTTTGTCTTCTGCATCACGAGCTCAGGACTGCAGGAACCAGCAAACTGGAAATACAAACAGCTCAGACCAAAAATAAAAACAACCCCAACAGGCCTCTCTAGCCACAGCACCAGGAAAGAGGCAGCCTAGTAAGACAAATTTAGCTAACCACCGCTCAGTGCCAGCCAAAGATCACTGGACCAGGTTGCAAAGCAGTCAGTAAAAATAGGTCTACTGAGGGGTGAAGTGATAGTACAGTGAGTAGAAGATTTGTCTTGCACCTGGTCTGCTCTCTGGTTTGATCTCCAATACCTCATATGGTCCTCTTGAGCCCACCAGGAGTGATGATCCCTGAGCACAGCCTGGTGTGGCCCAAAAAAAAAAAAATCTGTTGGGCTGGGCATATATAGAATTAAGGCTTATGCGTGTAGTTGACCCTGGTTTGATCCATCACCACGAGTAGCACTAGGAGTCCTGAGCACTGCTAGAGATAGCTCCCAAATGAAACAACAAAAAAAGCCTCCAACAATTTCAGGCATCTTTAGGGCCAAACGAAAGATGTAAATTTGGGGTCCTCATACATGGAAAGTAAGTACCAAGCTACTTCCCTGACCCTTAAGGAAAAATTTTAACATTGACCTATATATTAATATATAGAACTACTAAAGCCATACAAAGAGACTCAGAAACACTAGGGTGCTAGAGAGATTACAGTGGGAAGAGTACTTTGTACATGCAACCAACCCGGATTTGATTCCTGGCACCACTCTGGACTAATCCCTCAGCAGTGAGCCAGGAGTACGCCCTGAGCATCACCAGGTATAGTACCAAAAGAAGACTAAACAACCAAAATAGAATTCTAAAATTTCTAAGGTTGGGCTAGAGAGAGTACAGTGGGCAGTGCTCTTACTTTGCAGTGGCCAACGCCTACATGTGCCAACAGCCAGTGTGGGAACCGTAGGCAACTTCCCTAATCTCAGCAACGAGCATAATGAAGGCAAGGGAAAGGGGTAGCACACTGCACTGCACTGTCCTCCCCATGTTCACGATTTGCCCAGCTGGCACCAGTAACATCTCACAACAAATTGTGAGACTTGTTACTGTTTTTTGGCATATCCAGTACATCACAGGTAGCTTCCAGGCTTTGTCTTGCAAGATACTTAGTAGCTTGCTGGTCTCTGAGAGGGGTGCAGGAATCAAACCTGGGTCAGCACAGCAAGGCAAATGCGCTACCTGCTATGCTATCGCTCCAGCCCAAGGGAAAGGGTAAAATAAACAATGAAATAATAGAAACAAAATTTTTGTCTATTGGGAAAATAACACCCAAAAAAGTAAACGAATAAACTTAAGCCCTCGGCTTATCGATAATTACTTTAAATATAAATTATAGTAAGGACCAGGGAGAAAGCTCAGAGGTTGAAGCACTGCCTGGCCTGTGAATGAATGCATGAGATACTGTTTGGTCCTGGCACTGCAGACCAAATACCCCTGCAGGTGTGGCCCTGGGGGCTTCAGCAGTTCTGGTCCCAACAGCCCCCATCACTGAGCCCAAGCACTCTCCTGTCCATCTGTTTTGGTTCATGGGCCAGGGAGATGCCTCAAGGTCTGAACACAGGTCTAAGTTCAATTCCCAGCACCATATGATCCCTAGAACTGCCGGGAGTGACCCAAGCCCTGGTTTCATTCAGCCTCATAAAATAAAAAATTACACATGTAGAACTCTTACACTTTTATTTCATTTCAGACAGTTGGACAAGGCATCTACATTCTAGCATATCTTAACATCACCTAAACAAGTGAAAGACAACATATATTTATATATACATATATAAGGCAAGGGGAAAGGTCATGATTGTCTAACAGGGACTCTGAGTCCCTAAATAAATTATCTTACAAAAATATCAAACTTGCTTTTCTACTTTTCTCGGTAAAAATGAAAAAAATAATTCACATTAAAAAAAAATCTGATGGCGGGTATAGCAGTTACGATCACCTTTTATAAGCTGTGTCCTTTGAATAAATATTTTAAACAAATTTAAACTTTAAAGAAATAGGTCAAGTAATCACCCTTTATTTGTTTGGTCCACTAAAGACCACTGAAAAAAACTGACATTAAACTGGACTCAGCCCTGCCCATGAAGAGTGACCTATGCGCCACCAAGGCCGGCTCTGTGTGTGGGAACCACCAACACTGTGCAGCAGCCTTTGCCAAGTAGCTGTATCTCGTGGAGCCCCACTAGCCTATCCTAAATCAATGTGAAAACAAAAGAACACATTGCCCACTTCGATATTCGGTCAATTTTAAACAACTTCTGGAGCTAGAGAGGTAATACAGTGGGTAAGGCACTTGCCTTAATGCAGTTGACCCAGGTTTGACCCCTGGCACCCCACATGGTCCCCTGAGCCCCACTAGGGGTAATCCCTGAGCACCACTAGGTGTGGCTACCAAACTAAACCAAAACAATGTAAAAATCATGTGTTTGAGACTTCAGAATTACTGAACATGTGATAAAATCCAACACTGCTTACAAATACCTGGACAAGCACACTCAATACTCTGTCTTCTTTCTTGCTAGTCTACTCCTGTTGCATTACATGGCCTTGGCTCCTTAAAAATAGAGATTTTTTTTTTAAATGCTACATCAAATTTTTCTATTCTAAGACCCAATTTTAAAAAGAAGTGCAAAAAAGAAGTGCACGGGAAGGGTATAGGCTTCTCTGCATCTCTTCACACTCTGTCAAATTAATTTTTATTATTAAATTGCAATGACCACTACACAAACAAATGAATATGATGGTATGATGGTTCTGTCCACAATATTCAAGTCTCTTACTGAAAAGATACCAAAATATGGCCAGAGTGGCAGTACAGAGGGTAAGGCATTTGCCTTGCACCCGGGCTCAATCCCAGGTATCCCATATGGTCCCCTGAACACTGCCAGGAGTAACTCCTGAGTGCAGAGCCAGGAAGAACCCCTGAGCACTGCTGAGTGTGACCCAAAAAGATAACCAAAATATATCCAGTAAACACTTTCCATTCCCATGGCTTAACTGAGAGATGAATCTAATCATTTTAAAATCAATTATCATAAAATTGGGCCAAGGGCAGCTACAGTGAAACTCTTTAAGTCAAAGACATCCACTCAAAAATCCAAAAATCTAGAACACCAACACCTTCCATCCAGGATAGAAAAACGAGCATCCAAAGTAAAGTGAACCGCAAGTTTGATCAAGTAACCAATCAAAAACTACTTCCCTGTTATTTGAGCTAATAGTTACTCGAAGTTTAAAGTTTCCACCTTCACTATTATTGATGGACCCTAGAGTCACAGCTTCAATGTCAAATGTGACAGTGGATCCAGAAGTAACTGCAGGCAACTGATTAGTCATTTCTTTTCCATTTACAAAAACTGCACCTGAAAGGTTAAGGGAAAGAAAATATCTAAGAACGGAAACATTATTTAGGTAACAGCCATTTCCTAATGCAATATAAAGAAACACTTTGAAGTGGCAACTGATCAAAGCCAGTATGTTTTCATGTTTTTTGAATGGCGGGGTGGGGTGTGGGGGAGGCCCACTCTGGCTATGCAGACAGCGTATGTCTTGGCTCCATGCTCAGGGATCACTCACAGTCAGGCTTGGGGGAGCATATGTGGTGCCAGGGATTGAACTGTGGTTGGCTGCATACAAGGCATGCATCCTGCGCATTGTACTAACTTTCCAGCTCCCTTTCAAATTTTTTTTGCCACTTAGCCACATTCCTGCCCCAATATTTTAAATAAAACTAATTAATGATCCCAATCTCAAGTAAAAGGGCCGGAGCGATAATACAGTGGAGAGGGCATTTGCCTTGCATGCAGCTGACCCGTATTCAATTCGGCATCCCATATGGTCCTGAGCCTCACCAAGACTGATTCCCAAGTGCAGGGTCAGGAACAACCCCTGAGCAAACCCCTGAGCATTGCTGGTGTGACCCAAAAAGAAAAAAAAATTCTCAAGTGAAAAAAATAAAAACTTTAATTTTCTATTTTGGAAAACAGAGGTACACTTAACTGTACCTCTGGGAGCTGCTTCCACTGGTGCTCAGGGAACTATGGTGTGCAGGGATCTAATCCAAGTCTCACAAAAACAAAACAGACACTGTGCCACAGAGCCATATCCCTGGCCCCCAGGATTCTCTTTTTTAAAAAGACTATAGGGACTAAACATGATTGTCACTCATTGCCTCTTTTGCAAACCACAATACCCAATAAGAGAGAGAGGGCAGGGGGGTATGACCTGCCACAGAGGCAGAGTGGGTTGGGGGGAATGGGGGGTGGGAAGGATACTGGGATCCGTGGTGGTGGGAAATGGGCACTGGTGGAGGGATGGGTATTTGATCATTGTATAATTGAAACTCAAGCACAAAAATGTGTAGGTCTGCAACTGTACCTCATGATGTCTCACTATTAAAAATCAATTAAAAAAAAACAGACTATAGGGGCTGGAGCAATAGAACTGCAGGTGGGGTGCTTGCCAACTTGGTTTCAATCTTGGGCATCCCAGATAGTCCCCAAGCCCCACCAGGAGTGATCTCCTAAGCACAGAGCCAGGAAAAAGCTCTGAGCACCGCCATGTGTGCCCACACCCCACCCCACCCCCACAAGAAAAAAGGTCTCAACTCCACTGCCTGACGCAATGTTGCTACTGGGACAGATCCGAACCCTGCTATGGAATCAAGGTGCTTCAGAGACGGACAGCTATTTCTCACCATTGGTGCTAATGCACACCGCCTGATCCCGCTGCAGGGACTCATGGCCGTTCCTCTTTTCTGCACACACTCCGATACTGTCTCTTCTGTCTGGCTGTCCCACAGTTTCCACTCTTAAGAAAGAAAGAAGAAAGAAAATTTCATTCTTTCTGTCATTATGAACATGACACCCAACAATTATGAAGCTTAAAAAGAATTATCACATCAAAACTGCCTTTTTTAAACCGTGGAAGCTCAAAGTGATCAAGCATCGGGGGCTGGAGAGATAGCAGAGCGGGTAGGGCGTTTGCCTTGCACGCAGCAGACCCGGGTTTGATTCCCAGCATCTCATATGGTTCCCTGAGCACTGCCAGGAGTAACTACCAGGAGTGATGCTTGAGCCCAAAGCCAGGATAAGCCCTGAGCACCGCCTGGTGTGCCCAGAAACAAATATATATTTTTTTTTAAAAAAAGTGATCAAGCATTTATTATCTAGTGGCACTATTCTAAAAATTAAGTCATTATTTCCCCATGTATAAATCATCTGAGTTAAAGCTCGGGACACAGCTTAGCAGAACTCTGCCTGTGCAAGGCCCTGGGTTCAATCCACAACATCATGGGAAAATTAATCCCATTCAACTCATAGAACTCAAAAAGCAGATGATATTATTATCAAACCTATTTTATATACGAGAAACTAAGGAACAAAAGAAAAATAGATTGTGTGTGTGTGTGTGTATGTGTGTGTGTGTGTGGTGGGCAGCAGGGGGTGGGGAGGTTAGACACGTGGCAATGCTCAGGGGTTACTCCTGGCTCCACTTGGGAATCACTTCTGGCAGGGCTCCTGAGATGCCAGGGACTGAACCCAATTCAGCTGCCTGCAAAGCAGGTATCTTATTCTCTGTACTATCGCTCTAGACCCCAAAACAAGATTGTTTTCAAAGGTAAGTTAGGTGACTGATATTAGTTATGTGGGGGTTTTAGACATTCTTTTGGGGGTTTCACACCTAGCTGAGCTCAAGGATCACTCCTGGTGGAGCTTGGGACCCCATGGGGTACTAAGGACCAAATCCTAGTTGGATGCTCACAAGGAAATCACCTTTTCTACTGTACTTTCTCTCCGGACCCTAGTTCTGTGTTTTAGTCCCAACTTACATACCATGACATACTCCCTATTACCAAGCTCCAATTTCCCTGCACGACAGGCCTCTCTGGAGGGAAGAAAGAGTGGATGGGGCTTCTGGTTCTCCCACTGTTCGCATCACTGCTGGACAGCTCAAGGGACAGCATCTGGCTACCAAGGGGAGGGAGCAGCGTATTTTGGATGCCTGGTACCCACTGATTACAATGGGCCACTGAGGGAGTGAGTACAGCAGGTTGGCACTTGCTTTGCACACACCAACACAGGTTTGATCCCCAGTACCCCATACTCGGTTTCCCGAGCCCACCAGGAGTGATCCCTGAGCACAAAGCCAGAAGCCCTGAGAACTGCCGGGTGTGGCCCCAAAACCAGAAATTTTAAAAAATATTAAAAAATCACTGTCACTGTCCTCCCGTTGTTCATTGATTTGCTCGAGCGGGCCCAGTAACATTGTGAGACTTGTTACTGTGTTTGGCATATCGAATACATCACGAGTAGCTTGCCAGACTTTGCCGTACGGGCGAGATACTCGCGGTAGCTTGCCGGGCTCTCTAAGAGGGGCAGAGGAATTGAACCCGGTTCGGCAGGGCTGGCTGCGCACAAGGCAAACGCCCTACCGCTGTGCTATTGCTCCAGCCCCAGTTATTAAAAAATAAATAAATAAAAAGGGCCAGTGGGCTCTGTAGAGAACATGCAGTATCATGAGAAGACACTAGAGGGAGCCAGACAGCGCACCCTCCTGAACCAGAAAACTTTTCTGACAGTGCACTAGCCTTTGGGTAGTCACAGCTGCCCTACAAAGGTTCCAGAGGTGCCGGGGACCTACGGCTGGGCTCCTCTGTAAAGGCATTCTGCTTATGGAGTCAGGCTCCAAGAGTGGAGGGGAGACTGCTTTTTCAAATGTGTAGATCCCAGCACAAGACTACAGGCTGTCAAAGAACCAGGAGAGGGGCCAGAGAGACAGCACAGTGTAAGGCACTGGCCTTGCACACGGCTGACCTGGGTTCGATCCCTGGCATCCCATAGGGTACCCCGAGCACTGCCAGGAGTGACTCCTGAGTGCAGAGCCAGGAGTAATACCTGAGCATTGCCAGGTGTGACCCAAAATAAAACAAAACAAAAACAGGATAATATAGCCAACCCAAACAAAACAGGTCTCCTGAAATTATTATTTTACTTTTGGGGCCACATCTGGCAATGCTCAGGGGTTACGCCTGGCTCTGCATTCAAGAATTATTCCCTGGGGGGGTGGGCCCAGCCAGTCTGGGTGCAGGGCACTGCTGGCAGACCTGGGACCTGACTGTCATACGGGGCACAGGTGGGAGAGCTGTGGCCGAGGGGCAGCGGCCTTGGCCAGTCCGCAGTGATCCTCGTACTGGACAGTCGCTTGTCCTAACAGTACCACGTGGAGCCAGGCATGACACAGTCACTGACATTCTTGTGGGTCTTTTAATCGGGGGCCCCGCCAACACCTCTTGGGAGAACAGGGAAGGGACTACTGCCCCGTTTTGCAGCAGAGAAAATCTGAGGCTTAGATTCAAAATGGGTTTTGCCTAAGGACACCCAGGCAGGTGAGGATGGCCACTTGGTCCCAGGTCCTAGAGCTTAGAACCCAGGTCCCTTTTCACAGAGGCTCTGCCTGGCCAAGCCAGGGGATGGAAAGCCAGAGACTGGCCACAGCTCTGGTCTGTTGGGCTTGCTTTCATTGTGCTTTGCTTGGAAAGATTGGCCCCTTACTGTAACCGTCCAGTTCAGAGCTAAAAATATCCCGAAGCCAAGTCATGGATACACCTGCACGTAAGGAAAAATCCAAAGTTTAAGAACCTGTTGGCCAAGTAGAGAAGGCCAAGCAGAAAACAGCCCAAAAGATTTAACGGCCATGATCCAGAGACTCACAAATAAATCTCGGAAGAGAGCAACAAGCTGCAGAGATGACTCTGGACCCCACCCAGACTGAACCTCAGATCTGGGGCAGCTCGTAGCGGGGTCAGGTGGAGGGACTCACCCACCCTAACAGAGCCCCAGCAGCCAAAAACCCCAGAGCTCTCTAGCCACCATGTTCGCGGCCTATCTCCACCGGCTCAGATGAGCCTCATCCATGAGAGAGTCTGCTGAGAAACTCAGGTATGTGGGTTTTGTGACTGAAATATCCAGACTCACATGGAGTCGGGAATGGGCAACCTGCCCCCAACTTCCCTGTTCTTCCTGGAGCCTGGTAGTCATGCCCACCAACTGCCTCGGGCACCAAATAAGCCCATTAACAGCCAGGATCCAGAGACTCACAAATAAATCTTGGAAGAAAAAGAGAGTAACATGCCGTAGAGATGCCTCTGTACCCCTAAGTCACCATCCAGTTAAAAATTTAACTTCAAACTATTTAAAATTTTAGAACTTCTGGAGTGTCCGACTGCGTTCACTCTATACCACTGATATATCAGGAGTGGTACACTACACTGGATGAGTGTAAAGTAGAAGGCAACTGATCTCGATTTAAAAAAAAAATAGGGGCTGGAGCAATAGCACAGTGGGTAGGGCATTTGCCATGCACGCGGCCTACCTAGGTTCACTTCCCAGCATCCCAAGCACCACCAGGAGTAATTCCTGAGTGCATGAGCCAGGAGTAACTCCCGTGCATCACTGGGTATGACCCAAAGGGAAAAAAAAAATATATATATATAAGCACACAAGACTCAACTTGTAACAGCATGTTAGTAGTCTCTTGCATAAAGGCTTAATGGCTCCAGACCGAGATAGAACAATCTTCACACACTTTCTTTTAAGCAAACTTTGATCATTTTTAGTGGATTAGTCATAATAAGCAATACAAAATAAATTATTTAGGGCCTGCTTTTGGGATAGGTTTGGGTGGTGGTGGGGAAAAGCCAATATATTGGGTGGTGGGAAGGTGTAATGGTTGTGATTGGTGTTCGAATATTAAATGCAATAAATTTTTGTGAACAACTTAATAAAAATAAAAAGAAAGAAAGAAAATAGCCCAACAGGAGCTGAAGCACAAAGAGCGGAGATCTACACCCTCAACAGTGATGAGGGAACTGGAGCAGCAGCTGGATGGGTCCTGTAAGTGATGCAGCAGAGAGCAAGACCAGGCTTCAGGGTCTAAGCGACGTGCCTTGGAGGCTGTGTTGGGGAGCACCTTCCAGTTTTTTTTTTTTGCTTCTTTTTGGGTCACATCTGGTGATGCACAGGGGTTACTCCTGGCTCGCATACTCAGGAATTACTCCTGGCGGTGCTCCAGGGACCATATGGGATGCTAGGAATAGAACCTGGGTTGGCTGCATGCAAGGCAAACGCCCTACCCGCTGTGCTATCGCTCCAGCCCCACCTTCCAGTTTTAAATTGCAATGGCCATTTGGAGCCTTTCTGAACTAGACATGGAAGTTTAGATTATTCCTAAAATTGGATCAGTCTTAGCTTGTCTGATGCTTCTGCTATAGTGATTTCCCCAAATAGACCAAGTGCTCACTGAAAAGACTGGTCTTATTCTAAGAGAGTAGATTTTGTTTTTAAAGAAACATTTTCGGCGGTGGAAAATGGGCCCTGGTGGAGGGATGGGTATTTGATCATTGTATAATCGAAACCCAAACACAAAAATTTGTAAGTCTACAACTGTACCTCATGGTGTTTCACTAATAAAAATTATTTAAAAAAATTTTTTCATCTTATCTGAGGGGGGAAAAAATTGGTGTTTCTTATGAAATTAAATCTCTGAAAAATACAAATACAGTTAGTAGAAATGTTTAAAAAAAAAAGGAAGAAAGAATGAATTATTCCCAGCAGTGTTGAGGGGACCATATGGGATGGCGGGGATGGAACCTGGGTCAGCTGAGTGCAAGGACAGTGCTCTACCCACTGTGCTCTCTCTCCAGTCCTTCAATACTTCGTTTTTCTTAAAAAGACATGCTAATATTACTCATTCCAAGTAGCAGATATTACAGTATTATACAACGAAGAATCTTGGGCTGGCTTTGATCCCGGAAATGAACCTCGAAACTCTGATGTTCCCCAGGTAACCAGGGCATCCTGGCAATTCTCAGGGCCTCCGGGCCCCTCCTGACAGCTTGTGCTAATGAGATGACTCAGGGAGCCCCTCCCTAGATTTATGATAACAAGGTGACTCAGGAGGGGTGCACCCAGAGGGAACAAACATGTCATTAAAGGGCTGGGGCTTGGAGTCTAACACTAACAGATGACCCTTTCTTGAGAGTAAGTGGAGTGAGTCTGTCAACCCTCAGTCCAGGAAGCACCCTGGGCCATAACGATCACAGGGGCAGCTCAAGTCAGACTGTGTCCTGAAAACAAGGCTGTCCTCCTGCCTAGGACGTCCAGCCCTCTGCCCTCTGCACCTCTCCTCTGGGGTGGGCATGGGGGCGGGGGTGTCCCTGCACTGTAAAGAAACCAGACTTGGGGCTGGAGCAATAGCTCAGCGGAAAAGGCGTTTGCCTTACACATAGCAGACCCAGGTTCGATTCCCAGCATCCCATATGGTCCCCCAGGCACCGCCAGGAGAAATTCCTGAGTACAGAGCAAGGAGTAACCCAAAAAAGCAGAAATAAATAAATAAACCAGGCTTTCTAGTGTGACCAACTTTTCTAAGATTCTATGAGCTAATCAAAGAGATCACAGAAGTTCAGGCTGATGACTGGAAGGCCCCGATGGACAGCCACTGTGGGGAGAGCAAGTGAGTGACCCGCAGATCCCTGGAAACAGCACCAGAGGCGGTGGCCCTCTGAAAGAACAGCATTCTTCAGCTGCGATTTCCCAGCAATTAAATTTACAGTTTGCACAACTAATTCAAATATAATTTCTCTTTTATTCTGGGTGGACCCAAGCAGAGCTTAGGGGGGTCCACAGGTCACTCCTGGCGGGCCCAGAACCTAGGGCTGATTGGGCACAGCAGTGCTGGGAGATACTAGCTTGAGGGTGCTCGGGGGACCATGTGGTGTCAGAAATCGAACCTAGGACCCCACACACGCTAAGCACTGAGCTACATCCCCAGCTTCCAGTGCCTGAATAATCACTCTATCTCCACTGACCGTGTGGACTCCTCTGCTGTTGTGATTATCAGCCCACCTGAGAAGCAATCAGAGGGGTAAGGAAGTTCCCAGCGCCTGGACACTGTCCTCTAAGCAGGGCAACAAAGGAAGGGGACCCCCAAGGCTGGCTGCCAAGTCACTTTGTCTCTCTGACTTTTGTTTCATATCTGAAAAGAAAGACAATAACCTCCTAAACTACCGGGTCCAAAAAAGGCACCCGAAAAGGAAGCACTCCCAAAGAAAGGAAGTACTAGAGAAGGAAAAGACAAGAAAAGGGTTTAAAAAAAACAACAACAATGAGGTCAGGAAGTGTGGGGAGCAGGGAAAGCAGTTGGTTTAGACAGGAAATGGAGGGAGGGGGTTGGGAAGAGAGGCCTGGGCAGACCAAGGCACCAGGGCCAGCCAGGAGCAGCTCTGGGGGGCTTCAGCAGCTCAACACTGACACTCCCACAGGCCCTGGGTGCAGAGTGAACCCCACCTACAGGCGGGCCCTCAAAGCTGGATTCTGTCTACAGGGGACCCTCACAGCTGGACCTCATCTAGGGGGGTTATTCTCACAGCTGGATCCCATCTATTGGGGGGCTCACAACTGGGTCCAGTCTATGTGGGCCCTCACAGCTGGATCCCATCTATGTGGGCCCTCACATCTGGGTCTGATCTATGCAGGGGCCCTCACAGCTGGGTCTCCCTTTATCCCCTCCCTCTTCCTGGGAGGGTCCCCTGCTGTTCACATCTTCTGACTTTGGTACTGATGCCTGAAATTCCTTTAAACAAGGAGAGAAAACATTTCATTACACAATCAAATGGGGGGAAAAAAAACAACAAAACTGCCAAGGGTCTGACTATGACAACACCTAGCTTAGGGCGAGGACGACAGCTCAAAGAGAAGAAAAGCATTCATGTATGCGGGAATCCAGGGTTCAAAACCCAGTACCACATGGTCGTGAGCACTGCCAGGAGGAAGTCTGGGCCTTGCTGGGTAAAGCCCCCCAAAATGATCAACAATAGTAACAATTAGCCTAAGGTTCACTTTAATCAGCTGGCTAAGTGGAGGCCTGGGGCCCAGTTGATATTTCCAGAGGAGGGGGAAGCTGGCAATTTGTTAAGGCCATAAATGTCAAGCTATACATAGTACATGGATAATAATTAAATTTAATACAGAGCAACAGTACAATGGGTAATGCACATGTCTTACACACAGCCAACGTGAGCTCAATCTGGCACCCCATGTGGTCCCCCGAGCCCAACAGGTGTGATTCCTGAGCACAGAGCCAGGAGTAAGCCCTGAGAACCAACACATATGTGCCCCCTGCCAAAGAAAAAAAAATTTTAAAAAAAAGGTTAAATTATTTTTATACTTCCCAGTGTCTTAATAAGTTCTTTTTTTTTTTTTCCCTTGCTTTTTGGGTCACACCCAGCAATGCACAGGGGTTACTCCTGACTCTGCATTCAGGAGTTACTCCTGGTGGTACTCAGGGGACCTTGCACGCAGCCTACCCGAGTCTGAGCCCCAACACCCCACATGGTCCCCTGAGCTCCGCCAGGAGACATCCCTGAGCACAGAACCAAGAGTCAGCCCTGAGCACAGCCAGCTGTGGTCCAAAAATGGAAAGAGAAAGACCTACACCTAATGAGTACTCCGTATGTGTACTGCATAATCAAGACATTCTGTACACAATATCTCAATTCACCTTCATAACAGGCCTGTTAATACATAGGATAAAACTGAAACAAAGAAAAAAATAAGGAAATCATCATACGCTGCCCACTGGTAATGGAATAAATTCAGGATTTTTTTTTCCCAATGTCAGAAATCGAACCCAGGGCCTGTGCTCAGCCATGAAGTCACATTCCTGACTCCTTGGACTATTTTTAGCATCACTGTCCTGCCGCTGTTCATCTATTTGCTCGAGCGGGTCCAGTAACACCTCCATTGTGACACTTGTTACTGTGTTTGGCATATCGAATACGTCACGGGGAGCTTGCCAGGCTTTGTCATGCAGGCAAGATACTCTCGGTAGCTTGCCGGGCTCTCCGAGAGGGGCGGAGGAATTGAACCTGGGTCAGTCAGGTCAGCCGTGTGCAAGGCAAATGCCCTACCCGCTGTGCTATTGCTCCAACCAAAATGTATTTTTAGTATACATTTGTATTTTGGGCCTACACTCAGAGGTACTTGGGGTTAGTCCTGGCTCTGTGCTCAGGGGTCACTATTGGCGGGCTCAGAGAGACTATAGGGGAGGGCAGGGATCGAACCCAGGTGAGTCATGTGCAAGGCAAGTGCCATCCCTTGCTTTGCTACTGCTCCGGCCCCTGGACTACCTTTAATTCGCAGCTCACATAAGCATGTTCTATGCACTTCATTGGAACGGGAGAGGTGCAACAGACACTTTAACATTGACTTGCCTGAAAGTTAAGGTCTGCCCGCAGAAATAAGTTGGAGCACTGGAGTAGAGAACCCCTGACGATTCCGAGTCGTTCCGGAGGGCTATGTTTCTTCGGCTGCTCAGACTGTACCCCTCAAAGCCAGTGGTCCACTCTTTTTGGAAAACAAAGACATACAAAGTTGTTGTAATCTTCAACACCGATATGTCAAATACAACTTGGTCCCTGTGGTCAGACACATCCCTTGTATGTGAAGGGACCCAAGTCCAAATGTCAGGGTACCCTGTGCCCCCCGTAAGTCCTGCTGGATGTAGCCCTGAAGGCTCCTAAACTGTACTTATGGCCCCCAGCTGTCCAGGCAGCAGCCAATACTGTACCCCTCTGCCTGAGCACTGAGCCAACTGGCCAGGTATCAACCACCAAGTGCCACCCAGAGTGAGCCCAGGCTCCCTGAGCACTGCAAAAAGGACAAAGAACAAAAACTTAAAAGTAAAAGAGACATACTCTGAGGGGTCACGGGCAAGGACGTATCCAATGACAGGGAATTGTGGTTAATCCCACAAATACGCAAGACCTGTCAATTTCTGCAGAATTTTGTTTCTGCGCAGCAGTCGGTGACACACCTGTTAATGCTGGCTTGGGGAAGCTGGGGCTCCTGCATGCAAACAAGGGCTCCAACCCTTTAAGCTATCTCCCCGGCCCTTTGCAGTTTTGGAATGAGTGACCAAGTGTTACCTGGGTATCTGAGTATCAAGATAAAAGCATATGGCTGGAGGGGTCAGAGCAATAGTACAGTGGGTAGGGCATTTGCCTTAAACACAGCTGCCCTGAGTTCAATCCCTGGCATCTCATATGGTTCCCCAAGCACCACGAGGAGTAATTCCCTTGTGCAGAGCCAGGAGTAACCCCTGGGCATTACTAGGTGTGACCCCCCCCCCAAAAAAAAGATAAAAGCATAATTGGTTAGGCTTATTACAACCTAATTGAGAACTAATTTTTTTGGGGGGCGGGGGCTTTTTGGGTCATACCCAGAGATGCACAGGGGTTCCTCCTGGTTTATGCACTCAGAAATTACTCCTGGTGGTGCTTGGGGGACCATATGGGATGCTGGAAATCAAACACGTGTCGGCCGGGTGCAAGGCAAATGCCCTACCCGCTATGCTATCACTCCAGCCCGAAAACTCATTTTAAAACAAGCACAAATCTCTCAGGAGAATAATACAGAGGAATCAATTCCAAATCATAACTCTTTCAAGGAAAAAGGGCTCTCAAAGCTGGTATGTGCCTCAAACAGAAGAGCACAGCAGGGAGGGCATTTGCCTTGTAAGTGGCTGACCAACATTCAATCCCTGACATCCCACTAGGTCTCCCAAGCTTGCCAGGAGTGATCCCTGAGCAAAGAGCCAGGAGTCAGCCCTAAGAAGCGCCGGGTATGGTTCAAAAAACAAAAACAGGGGGTCTGGAGTGATAGCACAGCGGGTAGGGCGTTTGCGTTGCACACGGCCAACCCAGGTTCAAATCCCAGCATCCCATATGGTCCCCTGAGCACCGCCAGGAGTAATTCCTGAGTGCAGAGCAAGGAGTAACCCCTGAGCATCGCCGGGAGTGACCCAAAAAGTAAAAAAAAAAAACAACCCCAGAAGTAAAGGCACATTCCATGTTGCTTCCATCCATGGTGCTTTCCCCTGATGAACAAGGCAGTGGGGACACAGCCAGGGACACAAGTGCAAGTGTCAAGACACGCTGTGCCACGGTAAGGCTTCTGGGCTGGGGGGCATCTGCATACCATGTGGCACCAGGGTGGAGTGGCCCGTCTGGGGGACGCTCCACGGACTCCACTCCTGCCGGCCATCTCCCCGGGCACACACTCGGAACTGGTAGTCCACATTGGGGTCTATGTGCAGCACAATGAACTCCGTCTCCGAGCCGACGTACACGTCCTCAAAGTGACTGGCCGTGCATTTGCGGAACTGGAGCCTGTAGTCTTGGGCTGTAAAGTCATCGTCCACCTAAAAAGAGAAACACTTCTTGAGACAGAAATCAAAACTTAACTTCTGCCAGTATCACTGCTTCACACTATTGAACAGGGAGGCCAGAGTAATAGCAGAATGGGGGAGGTGTTTGCCTTCTATACCAGCAACCCGGGTTTGATGGCAATCATTCCATATAGTCCCCCGAGCACCGCTAAGAGTAATTCCTGACTGTAGAGCCAGGAGTAAGCCTTGAGAACTGCCAATATGGTCCCAAAACAAAAACTTTTTTTTTTTTAAAAAAAGGAAAAAACACTGAATGGGACCATTGTGTGCCCAGCACAGAGGACATGCTGACGTGGCTGCTCCCAGAAAGGGCGTAGGAACATGCTCTCCACACTTTCCTTTCCTTCTCTGTTCTCTGCAGGTCCCCCAGAGAGAGCAAAGAGCCTCCCGAGGTAAGAGAAAGGATACACACACACCAGCTTGGGATGTGGGCAAGTCCAGAGCAGACCGCCTACTTTCCTTTTCTTTAGACCACATGCTTTATAAACACTTCCCCATTTGTTACAAGAAACATCTACTTCCTCTAAAAAATGACATAGAGGGGCCTGAGCGATGGTACAGCAGGTAGGGTGTTTGCCTTGCATGTGGCCGACCCAGGTTCAATCCCCAGCATCCCATATGGTCCCCCAAGCACCGCATTCCTGAGTGCAGAGCCAAGAGTAACCCCTGAGCATTGCTGGGTGTGACCCAAAAAAGCCAAAAAAAAAAAAAAGACATAGATTACATAGATTTTCAGAGATCACAGCTGGACCAAGGCACCAAGGTTGAGGAAGAGCAGCTGGTTCTTGTCAGGAATTGTCAGGAACTATTGATTTGAATTTTCTTTCAAAATGTGAAAATAAATGCCACATTCTGGGTGCAGAATTTAATGTAAAAATCAATGGGGCACCTTTGGCACCATTTAAGCTCCTTCACCGGTCATGATCCAGAGACTCAAAATTAATCTCAAAAGAGATCTATAAGAAGCAGAATTTCTCCCAGATCCCACATAAGACTGAGTTGACCTGGGGCAATCCAGCACCCACCCAAAGAGCCCTGGCAGCCAAAAAACTCCATGCTCCACAACTGCTACCATGCTCCCGGCCAGACCACATGGCTCAGATGAGCCTCATCCAGAAATTAATTTGTTGAAAAACTCAGGTATGTGGGTTTTTCAATCTCCAGCTTTCACTGAGTTGAGGGTGGGCTACCTCCTCCCATCTCCCTGTACCTCTGAAAGTCCGGCAATCATGCACATGTCCCAAAGCCACCACCCAGAATTTGACTCCAGTTCTATCACCCTGTTAGAAATTTTGGACACCTAGGAGCATGCGGCCACAATTTTGACCATGCGACATTTCAAACTCTACAACACTGATAAACCAGGAGTAGCACACCAGATTGGATGGGATGTAACAGAGAAGGCAACCAATCTCAATTAACAAAATGTAAACATAGAAGGCTTAACCTGTAACAACATCTCAGTCATCTCCTATACAAGGGCTTATGGGCTCCCTGGTGAGACACAGCATCTTCTCTAACTTTCTTCTATGGAAACATTTTTGGATCATCCTTTTACCAAATTATTTATAACAAGCAATGTAAAATAATTATTGAGGCCCTGCTATGGGGACAGGCTCAAGGGTGGTTGGAAAAACTGGAAATAATGGTGTGAAGATGCAATAGTGGTGGGACTGGTGTTCAAATATTGAATGTCTGTGACTAAACTAATGACTTAAAGTTATTAAAAAAGAAAAGGAAAATGGCCTGGTTTTTGATGCAATAATATTAAAGAGAAATATTAAAAATGCAAAGTTAAGTACCTCACAACCACGCCATTCATATAATCAGGAGAATTAACGTCCATAACACAGCACATGAGGTACAAGAACACAGCTTAACAGGTTGAACATATGCTCTGTGTGCTGGCACTGTATGCCTACCCAGCACTGCCCAGAGCAGCCCCCGAGCACCGAGGCCGGAGCAACACTGCACAGGGGCCAAACTCCTGGCTTACTCCTGGCTCTACACTCGCGGATCACTCCTGGCTGAGCTCAGGGAACCACACGGGACAGGACTCCGGGGACTAAACCAGGGTCGACCTTGTGCAAGGCAAGCACCCTGTTCATCTTATGACCTCCCTAGCCCTGAATCCTTTTTTTAACAAATAAAAGTTTGTGTGCATATTTTTATTTTAATTTTATTTTTATTTTATTGATATTAGCAGAGGCAGGATTTGATCCCAGAACCTCAACACACGCAGGATAAGTGCTCTGTTGCTGAGCTATCAGTCTAGACCCCAAGACTTCGTTTTTCATTTTTGTTTTGTTTTCTAGCCACACACTATGGTGCTCGGAATAATCCCAGCTTCGTGTGCAGGAATGACCCCTGGGTAAGTTTCAGGGACTAAATGCAATGCCAGGAACTAAACTGGTGCTTGCCCAGGTGCAAGGCAAGTGCCTGATCCCCTGTCCTATGGCTCTGGCCAAAAGCTTTTTTTTTTTTAATTAGTGAATCACCATGAGGTACAGTTATAGGTTTATAAACTTTCGTACTTGCATTTCAGTCATACAATGATCCTCGTACCCATCCCTCCACCAGCGCCCTTTCTGCACCACCAATGGTCCCAGCATCCCTTCCACCACCCCCACTTTGTCCCCTCCACTTTACCCCACCTCTGTGTCAGGGCATTCCCTTTTGCTCTCTCTCTCTCTCTCTCTTTTGGGGTGTTGTGGTTTGCAACAGAGGTACTGAGTGGCCATCGTGTTAGGTCTATAGTCTACTTTTACTCCGCATCTCCCATCCCGAGCAGGTCCTCCCAGCACCCTTTACTCGATGGTCTCTTCTCTATCTGAGCTGCAAAAGGCTTTATTTTTTTAACATTACATTTAAGAAAAGAGTTCCCAGAGGATGGAAGGCAGCTCAAAGGGCTAAATTGCATCCCTTGCATGTGGGAGCTCCTAGTTTAATCCCCGTCCCCAGTAGCACTAGGAACAACTCTAAGCATCAAGCCAGGGGTAGCCCCAAATACTAGTGGGTGTGGTCCAACATCCAAGCACGTAAGTTTCTGGCACTGTGCCACCACTCTGAGCTGATGTGTCCATGAACCACAGCCAAGGCACTGTGACTCATCTGGATCTGGTGTCTGTCTAAAATATGGCAATTCAGATACCAAATAGGATCTAATACACAAAACTCTTGGCAATATTTAGAATATGAAGAAACCATGCTTTAGTCATTTTATTTCAGAGTATTATTATTAGTTCCACACAGAACAGAAAAATAGCCCACACCCAACATTTTTTTTTTTTTTTTGCTTTTTGGGTCACACCCAGCTATGCTCAGGGATTATTCCTGGCTCTGCACTCAGGAATTACTCCTGGCGGTGCTTGGGGGACCATATAGGATGCCGGGGATCAAACCCAGGTCGGCCACGTGCAAGGCAAACACCCTACCCGCTGTGCTATCACTCCAGCCCCTCATTACATCTTTTAACTTTTATAATAAACAAATGGGGGCAAGCCTCAGTTCACAAAGAGTTAAGTTGGAGAGGAAATATTGCTCTGGAGATTTTTAAAAGGATATTCAAGTCTGGGGCTGCAAATAAATAGCAGAACACTGTCCTGTGTGCAGTAGATTTATTTACTGGCATTTAATTTATTGATTAAATAATTTTAAAAGAAAATACAAAGGATCTTCAAGGGTGCTGGAGAGAATATAGCACAGTGGGTAGGTGCCTGCCTTGTATAAGACCAACTCACTTTTGGTCCCCAGCATCCAATATGGTCTACTAAAAAACCCAGCCAGGAGTGACCCCTGAGTGCAGAACCGGGAGTAAGCCCTTAGCACTGCCAGGTGTGGCACAAAGGCAAACAAACCCCCAAAAGTGAAAGGTCCCCAAATCTCAAATCCATCAAGTGGAAGTCCCACGTACAGTTCTAAGTCACATACCTTACACCATCGGACTATGATACCTCCAGGTTTCTCTATCAGTTCTTCTATCTGTACTGGTGGGCGAGATGCTACGGTTCCATGCTTAAAAATGTGGTCTTTTACTATGTTAAGAATCGAGTCATCCAACTGAGCCGATAAACAGGGCACATCAACCAGTAAAGGCACCTCTGGTAAGCTAAGGAAACAAACTCATATGTTTATGTGACTCTTGACTGGGAGTTAAAAAACACAAAGAATACTTGAGATCAATCACACACTCTAAGGATGCTGAAGACAAATAAATAAAGCTAATGCAGAGGAGGTTTGCAAGAGAGTGTAAGAATTTTCTTTCCTCAGGGCTGGAAAGATACAGTACAGTGGGCAAGGTATTTGCTTTGCATGTGGCTGATCTGGGTTTGATCCAAGCAACACCAAGAATAACTCCTGAGTACGAGCCAAGAGTAAACTGTTAGCACCACCAGGTGTAGCCCAGAACCAAGAACTAAATAAAGTCCATCCAAAGGGGTCAAGGAGCGAGTAGGGCACTTGCCTCGCACACGGGACCCAGTTTCGATTCCCAGTATCCCATGGGGTACCTGATTCCTGAGCACTACAGGAGTGATTCCCCAGTGCAGAACCAGGAATAAACCCTGAGTATCATCAGGTATAGGCCCACCTCCACCCCCACAAAAAAAAAGGGGGGGGGAGGGGCCAAGGAGATGACCCCTTGCAGTAAGCCTGGGTTCAATCTCCAACAATGCATGGTTTCCAAAGTACTACCAGCAACTGAATCACGAGTAGCCCCCAAACACCGCCAGATATGGCCTCAAACCCAAAATAAATAAACTCAGGCCAAAGGCATAACTTTCTTACCTATCCAGCTGAATGTGTGAAGCCTTTTTGGTAAAGCTCCAGAGTTTTTCATTGTGTTCTCCGACGCCACCAAGGAGGGCGATCTCTCCTATAAACAGCGGTGAAAGAACACAGTGGTAAATGGTCACGTCACACAAGTTAACACAGCCATGGTAAGGTGTGCTGATGAGTCTCAGTGATGCCACCATCAAATTTCCAAAACTGTGGGTAAGAACGAGAGGGAAAAGGGGTGGGCACACAGTGCCACCAGTTTACCAGACATGAAAGTTGAATTCAAGGAAATCTGGTTTAGCAACCAAATTTACGCAGAGGTTCAGAAACTAAGGACTTGGGTTGTAGGAAAGCCAAAAGAGCTGACTCCGGCAAAGAGTATATAGTATGCCTAATATAATTAATAGAGAACATCTGATTAGAAATGACACAGCAGGGGCCGGAACAATAGTACAGTGGGGAGGGTGCATGCCTGGTCCCCAGCACCTTATATAGTCCCTCAAGCCCCACCAGGAATGATCCGAGCGCAGCACTAAGAGTAAGCCCTGAGCATTCTTGGGTTTGACTGGAAAAAAAAATGAAAAGAAAAGAAATGAAATGATCCAGTAGAACAATAAAAGAAGAAATGCTACTCTGTAATGGCTTCAAAAGACAACCATCTGCCGCAGCCTTCCACAGTGCTGAAGAACAGTACCAGCCCCTCTGTTCCATCTAAATGTGCCCCGGAGCTTCTCAAGGGTTTGGAGATTACTTGACTTTCTCTCACCAAAAGAAAAACAGAGTGGCTAGAGCGATAGTACAGCGGGGAGGGCGTCTGCCTTACATGCAGCCCATGTAAGGTTCGATTCCTAGCATCCCATATGGTCCCTTGAGCACGGCCAGGAGTAATTCCTGAGTGCAAAGCCAGGACTAACCCTTGTGCATTGCCAGGTGTGACCCCCCTCCCCCCCCCCAAAAAAAAAGAAAAGAAAAGAAAAAGAAAAACAGAGACACTGAATATGGCCTCAAAATCTTCAAATTCCGGGGCTGGAGCGATGGCACAACGGGTAGGGCATTTGCCTTGCACACAACTGACCTGGGTTCGATTCCCAGCATCCCATATGGTCCTCTGAGCACCGCCAGGAGTAATTCCTGAGTGCAGAGCCAGGAGTAACCCCTGTGCATCACCAGGTGTGACCCAAAAAGCAAAAAAAAAAAAAAAAAACCTTCAAATTCCATAAAATACATTTTATCCCTGGAGAGGGGAAGGAAGGAGAATGCACATTCTAAAATATTAGTGAAAAAAAAATAAACCCACCCAAAAAATTATCAGATGCAATAGTATCTATCTCAAAATAAAGCAAAGGATTGTTTTCTAAAGTCAAGTTTGTCTCAGTCCTCAGGATGACGGGAACATCATCCTGACCTGTGCTGACCTGTTTCTGAGTTTGTTTCCAAATACAAAGTCTCCAGGGAAAGACATTCTGTGTTTTGCTTAAAAGAATTTTTTTCAGGGGCCAGAGCAATAGTACAGTGGGTACTATAGTACAGTGCAAGGCAGTGAGCACTTGCCTTGCACGCAAGCACTTGACCCAGGTTCAATCTCCAGCATTCCATCAAGTCCCCTGAGCCAGGAGTGTTCCCTGAACCATAAAGTATTGCCCATGTTGCCCAAAAACCAAAACAAACAAGAACAAAAAAAAAATTTTTTTTTCAGAAGCAACGCCAAGCAGCAAATAAACACTATTGCCAGTACGACAAAAGTGTAGGGGACCGGAGAGATGTACAGTGGGAAGGACACTTGCATTGCATGCAAACAACTTGGGCTGGGTCCCCTGCACTCCATAATTTCTGAGTGCAGAGCCAGGAGTAATATAATAAACCCTGAGCTTCACTGGACAATAATCCCCTGCCAAAAAATAAAAGACCAACATGTAATAAATAGGGATAGATAGTACAGCAAGTGGGGATACTGTCTTGCATGCAGTCGACCGCATTCGATCCTCAGCACCCATATGGTCCCCCAAATACTGCCAGGAAATTCCTGAGTGCAGAACGAGGAAAAAGGGTATCACCGGGTGAGGCCCCAAACACACAAAAGTGTAGCCAGTAAAGAGGACATACTGTAATCTGGGACCAAAACCAGGATTTATTTCTAGTTGGAATAAAAGCCTTCAGAGAGATGAGTGCTCTTTCCTTTCTTCGTATTTAGGTATGGAAGGGTAGAGGGCACACCTGTCGGTTCTCAGGGCTAACTCCTGGCTCTGTGCTCAGGGATCATTCCTGGTGGTGCTTGGAAAATCATATTCAGTATCAGGGACTGAACCGAACTGAGGTCAGGCAGTTGCAAGGCAATACCCAATGACCCCTGTACTATCTTTCCGGCCAGTTTTCCCTTTTTTTCTACAGTCAGATGATCACTAACAGTTAACACTTACTGATCATCAATTCTATGAAAATCTTAAAAGCTGCTTTTCCAGGGCCAGAAAGATAGCACAGTGGGCGAGCGTTTGCCTTGCACATGGTCTCCCTGGGTTCAATCCCCAGCACTGCACCTAGTCCTCCAAGCCAGCTAGGAGCGATCCCTGGGCACAGAACCAGGAGTCAGTCCTGAGCAAACAAAAACAGCAACTTTGCACCTCATCTCAGCAGTCACTTCTCCATTTTCTTTCCACACCACTGCTGCAACCTTTCTTTTCATTTTGAGAGGGAGGCTGGCTACATGGGGCCTCGCTCAGGGGACCATATGGTGCAAAACATGCCCAGGAGCTCAGGGAGGCCTCTCCCTGACGATCCCCACTGCTGCAACATTCCAGTCGGTTCCTGGCACCTACCGTCTCTCAGTCTGTAGAACATCTTCAAATGACAGACACTGTATGGAGTCGGAGCAACAGCACAGCTGGAGGGCATTCACTTTGTTTTGTTTTGTTTCTTTTGGGGTCACACCTGGCGATGCACAGGGGTTACTCCTGGTTCTGCACTCAGGAATCACCCCTGGTGGTGCTCAGGGGACCATATGGGATGCTGGGAATCCAACCCGGGTCAGCCGTGTACAAGGCAAATGCCCTCCCTGCTGTGCTATTGCTCCAGCCCCTGGAGGGCATTCTCTTTGATCCTCTGCATCCCACATGATCTCCCGAGCACCATGGCATTGATCCCTGAGCACAGAGCCAGGAGCAAGCCCTGAGCATTGCTGGGTACGAGTTCCCAATGAAAAAAAATTTTTTTTAAATGATAGGCACTATGAGTTTTTAAAATGGAAATATTGTGTAATTCCACTCCCAAAAATACTTCAATAGACTCCTGATATGCCATTTTTTACTACACTCGTGATGTTACTTCTGCTTTTCATCATGGTGTTCCTCACCTTCTTCCTTTGTCTGCTTGATGAGTTTCTTCTAGCCCCGCAGAACTCCTTCCACAGAAAGCTCTCCTACACCTTCCAGACTGAGCTCAGCACTGCCCTGTTGGCCTCCCCAAAGGCCCTGGGGTCCCTCAGCCTGGATGTCCTGCCCACTGTTCTGTGAGCAGGGTGAAACCATCACCTTTTAATTTAATGTACCTGACAAGACTATGAAGGAAGAAAAGTATGTCGGTAAGAAGGAAGAAAGGTAAGAGCGGCAGCAATGCAAGGTATGGACACGGTTTAACCGTTCCTGGGCCAGAGAAACAATACAGAGGTGAAGATGGTTGCCCTGAATGCGGCCAACCCCAGTGCTAGTGGCTGTTTGATCCCCGGCACCACACATGACCCTGGAACACCACAGAGATGATCCCTGAGCACAGACCCAGGGGTACGCCCCTAGTACTGCTGGATCTGGCCGAAACCTCACCACCCCTCCAAAAAATAAAAAAAAGTATATGTTATGAAGATGCGTATAATTGACATTCAACTGCACCTGCCCTGGGAGACCTCTCTGTTAGGTTCTCATCCCATGAGCACACTAAGCACACACAAATCACAAGGACACTGCTGACAGTCTGGGAGACTGACAAGTGCCAATAGGAAATATTCCACAGTTTTCCTTTTTTGCGGTAGCATCTCAGTGTTGCTCGGGACCTTGCAGTTGCAGGACTCAAACCTGGGGCTCCCACATGCAATGCATGCACTCCAGTCCTCTGAGTCACCTCAGTGAGCAAGGCGCTTGCCTTGCACACAGCTGGGTGTGGTCCCCAAACAAACAACAAAGAAACAAAATTATGCCAGTGCCACACTGCGCTACTCCCGGACGCCCACCTTCATGCACCAAGTCCTCCGCGGTATTGACTCCGTGCTCTATAAGCTTCTGGCAGTCATCGAGGGGTTTGATGGTCTCCTGTTCGATGCTGTCCACCTCCTGCAGGAGGCTCACCAATCTCTCATCCAGAAGCTTTCCTAGGGTTCCCTTCAAGTCATTAAAATGCTGTTTGAGGACATCTCTTGTCTGTGATGCACTCTCTTTGATCTGAAAGAAACAGCACAGAAATCCAGTCAGAATTTTTAGAAAATACTAATCCCCAGGTATCACCCATAAAAAAAATCGCAAGGCACTACATATTCACTGATCAAACGAGTCAGGTGAATTTCCTAAAACTGACTTCGGGTGAAACAAAATAGGGACTCCTGGAGGACCTCGGGGACCATTTAGAGTGTGGGGGAGGGAACCCAGGTCTGCCACTACCAAGGCAAGCGCCCTGCCTGCCATATTATCTCTCCGGCCCCTTCTCTTGTCTTGTGCCAGGGATGGGAACCAGGCTCTTGCACACAGGAGGCATGTGTTCTACCACTGAGCCATAGCCAAGCTCTCACTGTTGTTCATCACTGTCACTGTCACTGTCCTCCCATTGTTTATCAATTTGCTCGAGGGGGCCCAGTAACATTGTGAGACTTGTTACTGTGTTTGGCATATCAAATACATCACGGGTAGCTTCCCAGGCTTTGCCGTGCAACTGTTGTTCATAATTTTTTTAAAAAAAGAAGATATTGTTATATTGTTATTATCTGCACAGAATAGTTCTTGGTAATTGTTTGTTTCAGTAAAACTTTGGGATGTTTCTAGTTTTTTTTTTATTCTGTTTTTGCCAAGAGATCAAACCCAGAGCCTCACAGATACACCAGCACCACTGTATGTGACTAAAACGACAGAATAAACATAAAATCCAGGGCTAGGTTAAATAGTACAGGGTTTAATGCGCCTGTGTCCCAAAGGGCCAAAAGACTAGTGTAAATGCTTTGCATGTGGGAGTCCCTGGGTTCAATCCCTGATACCGCACATTCCCTAAGCAATCCAACAGGACCTCCAAGGATCCACCAAGTATCCACCAAAAGTTACACATAACTTTTTCACTAAACAGGGAGATTATAACTATAAATCAGTTGAATTATATAAAACACATATTTAGCAGATATTTATTAGATTCTTATGGCATATTGTTCATTACTCTATGCTGAGTTTACCTTTATTGAGGACACTTGAAGTCTAAAATAAACCCACAAAGAAGTATCGGGGTCATAGGCTGGAAGAACAGTACAGCAGGTAAGGCATTTGTTTTGCACAAAGCCAACCCAGTTGTCATCCCCAGTATCCCACAGGATCCCCAAAGCCCACCAGGAGTGTTCCCTGAGCACAGGGTCAGGAGTAAACCCTAAGTACTGACACGTGTGGCCCCCCAAAAAAAACTAAATAAATAAAATTTATACTACATTTTAAAAGCAGAAGAGCAAAACTATTTCCTAGATGTTTATAATTATGTAAAAACAAAAGAATGCCCTTGTCCAAAGACAACAGAGAATCTGGGAAAGACATCTTATGATTTTGATATCTCACATGGGATACTGTTAGAAATGCAGATTCTCAGGGATGGAGAAATAGTGCAGCAAGCAAGGAGCTTGTCTTGAATTTGGCCTAACCAGGTTCAATTCCCCAGCACCCCATATGGTTCCTAGAGCACAGCCAGGAGTAATTTCTGTGTGTCAAGTCAGGAGTAAATCCTGAGCATCACTGAGTGTGCCCCTTCCCCCCCACCAAAAAAAGAAAAAAAAGAAAGAAATTCAGATTCTCAGACCCCACCATATGTACTGAATCAGAATCTGCATTTTTACCAAGATCCCCAGGGTGATTCACAGACCTTACAGACACCAGAACAAATGAAGACAGTATGTCTGACAACCGAGAGGAAATTCAGCAGTTGGGCACTACCAATGAGGCCCCCAGTTACTCTTTAACGGATACAGGAAGTGCACTGGTTAGGTAAAGTCAATTTCCTCTTTAGAAAGAATTCAAAACCCCCTTCAGCTGCGAAGGAGCCTGACAACCATTTTTTGCTTTTGTTTCAGAACCCCAGTAAAAAGGAAGTTTGTGAACTCAGAGCGGAGAGAGGTTCCAGGAAGAAAGAATCCACATCCAAACACACTTTCACTGTGAACTTGGTATTTGCTCTCCCTAACAATCAACGCTGTAAACTTGACAATAGGTCAGCATCATTTTCTTCTCCTGGAAGGAGTTTTATAATTTAAGTTTTATAATTCATTCAATCCAAGTTCATCTGCTCAGCCTTATGAAACTAATTTTAAACTGCTGACTTCACTGTTGAGTGAATGTCTTCATATCTGACGTGGTATCATGGTCAGCGTGTCAGCTGATGAACTAACTCTCCATGGCACTGACACGAGATGTTTGTCTGGTAGTTGGGTTGAAGGAAGTCAAATTACAGTGTTGGAACCTGTCTGACTCCAAGCACCTTGCTCTTCCCGCTTCACCCAGCAGTTCAGGACATTAAGACCTCTTTTCAGGGGGGATGGGGGAGTGTTTGGGCCACACGATAGCTCAGCGGCTGCTCCCAACAGTGCTCAGGGGACTGTGTTCTGCTGGGAATCAGATCAGGTTTGGATGTCTTAAAACATATACTATCTCTCAGGCGAGACATTTTTCGTTTTGTTTTGTTTTGTTTTGGGGCCATACCCAGCGATGCTCTCAGGGGTCACTCCTGGCTCTGAATTCAGGAACCACAGCTGGCACTGCTCGGGGGATGATATATAGGGCCATGGGAATCAAACTCAAATCGGGAGCCTGCAAGGCAAACACTTTCCTATCCCTCCAGCTTCCTCTCTCTGGCAAGTCTTAATTCCTGTACTACCTCTCCAGACCGCAGATCCCATTTTTACTTTATTTTACTGGTTTTGGGGCCATACCTGGCTGTGCTCAGGGCTAATACCTGGCTCTGCATTCAGGGATCACCCCTGGCAGGCTTGGGGGACTGTATGTAGTGCCAGGAGATCAAACCTGGATCAGCCATGAGTAAGCCAAGCACCCTAACCACTGTACTATCTCTCTGGCCCTGCAGATCTCATTAAAATGCAGGTATCACTTTAAGTGTTCCCAGGAAACCAGAGAGATCATTCAATGGACAGAACATATACTCCACATGTGAGAGGGAGGCCAGGTACCAATATGGTACCACATACAGTCCCCTGAGCACTGCCAGGAGTAATCACCAGCACAGAGCTGGGAGTGATCCCTGAGCACCATCAGATGTAGCCCCCAACCACTAAAGAGTTCCCAGGCAAACCAATCAATTATGTATTGACTGAAGACCTTAAAATATTCTCTTTGTATTAAGACTTGTGTAAGGGGCCGGGGCAGAGAATAGGGCTCTTGCCTTATAAGTGGTTGAACCAGGTTCAATCCAGCTTCCATCCCTAGGGCTGGGGAGACAGAACAATGCGTAGGGCACTTGCCTTGCAAGTGACTGAACCAGGTTCAATCCACCAGATGATCTCCCGAGCCCCACTATGAGTGATCCCTGAGCACAGAGCCAGAAATAAGCTCTGAGCACTGCCAGTTGTATCCCCCCAAACCACTTTAAAAAAATAGAATGTCTGACCAGGGGCCAGGGACACAGTGAAGGTGATGGAGGAATTGGGAGCCCCAGATTCGATTGCATGGGATCCGTGTACTAAAAGATTGGCACACCCACAATTACTCCTCCACTCTACCAAAAAAAAATAAAGCAGAGAGAACTTGGGGACCAGAGAGATAGTAAGATAGTACAGTGTACAGTGGGTAGGGTACCTGCCTTGCACATGACCAACCAACCTGAGCTCAACCTCCAGCACCCCTTAATGGTTCCCCAATTCTGCCAGGAGTGATTCCTGAGCACTGCCAGACATGACCCAAACGTGTGCGCACACACACACACACATACACACACACACACAAACACACAGACACAAACACAGAGACACACACATGCAGGAGAGAATTTTAATAACTAATCATGCCATTTAGCTTTTCTAGAGGAAAGAATGGTTGTGGCTTTAAGGATACAAATGATCTACAATTCGAGGTCTCAGAAAAGAAACTGCAACATACATTGTTTATGTTGGTTCATAATATGCTGAGCCAAGTTTTTTTTTCACTAAACTCTACTGTAATGGATAGTTAAAACTTACAGAGTTTCTACCGCAGTTGAATCTAATTCCAAAGCAATTATGTTTCTAAAGTTCAATCAAAATCCTGAAAGTTGCCAAATTTATAACTCAGTACTAAGTCACACAATATAAAATACACAAACCGTGGCTGACACTTGACTCCAGAGTTTAGTTACCCTGAAAGTCATAAAACCTGGGGGTTGGGGAGATAGCTCAAAGCTGGAGTGCTCTACAAGCAGGACCCTGGACTGCACTGGATGGTCTACCAGACATAGCAAGAACACCCAGCTCCATTGGGTGTAGCTCCCAAACAATCGTAAAACCTACTTGAAGGACCAGTCGTCTACAAATCTGGTCTGGGGAAGTAGCTCAACAGTTGAACATCCACCTTGCATGTGTGAGTTCTTAGGTTCAATCCCTAGCACAGCAAAATTTAAAAAGTAAAAAAAGAAATAAAAGGCCCCTGTAAGTAACATGTAAGTGGAACAGAGAAGAGCTTACCCACATCACAAAGTGAGGAAAGTCACTGAGAATTTGAATTCAGACTGACACATACTGAACTCAATCAGGACTCATCAATGCCACTCTATTTCCTTCTCTCTTCCAGTTAGGTGTTTTATTTGTAATGCTTATTTGAAACCTTTTAGTTATTATTATATTATTAATTTTTTGGGGGGGGAGGAACACACCTGTGGTGCACAGGTCTTATTTCGGCTCTGCACTCAGGGACCACTCCCGGTGGGGTTTGAAGAGCTCACATGGGGTATCAGGGACTAATCCCAGGTTAGCTGTGTGCAAGACCCAGCAAGACCAGCACCTCATACACTGTACTCTCTCTGGCCATATTTGAAACATTTTAAAAGAAAACATTTATAGTATGATTTAACAGTCAATAGTGTCCTCCTTAAATGAACCCTGATCCTCATATCTTTGGTACTCCAATCTAAGGGGTCCACTCCACTGAAGACAGGCTGCGTCTGTGTCTAAGATCCAGGGATATACAGAGCAACGAAGGCCTGGGCCTCTGCCTTGAGA